TTCTCATCCTCTGTTGAAAAGATGTAGAAGCACATCCTTCACTTCTTCTTTCGCACGCAAGGAACTGATAGAAATAATTATTCTGTCTTCTGATCTTTAAAACATGTATTGCTAAATCAATTCAGCCTCAGTTTCTGACATGGAATGGCCTCTCTAATGGAACATAAAGCTCTTTTGGCTGAAGAACTTTTATTTATCTTTTGTTTTGAATTGTATTTCATCTTATTTATTTTCACAGTCTGCTATTATATAGAATTATTCATTCACTGCCAAAGCAGCATTTTAATCCATTGGTATGATTATATTTTATTTATTTTTATTATTATGTTTTGTGCCAATAAAGTCATTGGATATTTCAAGTATCCTAATTAAGCAAATCTATAATATCTGGATAAATTGATCCATTAGCATTCTCATTCACCTTAATGGCACATGCTTGGCAGGCGCAAGAAAACCTGGATGTAGGCTACACAGTTTGAAATATGTCATCTTTGCTCATCAGCCATGATAACAAGCAAAACCTCGACCCCTTTATTCTTACAACAGTATGTGTCCATTTAATGTTAGAATCTAAAGCCTGAAATCTCTAATTTGGCATTTTTAGGTTAGGTCAGTATCATTAGTGACACATTTTGCATCTTTACGCCACGTCAAGACCAAACCCGGAAAACAGGTCTCATCACTTCCGTTTGTCAGAGAACGTGTTAACAGCCGTATTAAATAATGGTGATATCTATAGACTTTTAAGGTAATCAGTTAAACTAGCTAGCTGTTTTTATTGTTGACGTTTATTCAATTTTTTTATCTAAATGTTAGTGAAAAGAATAAAAAAAACTTCATATGTGATGGACATTGGTTATGATACTTTTTGTATCTACTTTGAAGGCATCTTGAGGAAAACAGCGAAGCATATGCAAAACGCTTGAACCGGAAGCGGCGAGACCTGTTTAACAGAATGCGGAAGTCTGTTGCGCATAACCCCTATTCAAATGATTTGTTCAAAATTGTGATTCATTTAGGAACAAAACAAATGACTCTTCTTAGTGAATGAGTCATTGAATCATTCAGTCAACTGAGTCATTAAAAACACTGATTCATTCAAAAAACTAAACACTTGTCTTTATGAAAGAGTCACTGAATCATTTTCTCAACAGTTTCATTCAAAAAAATTATTCGGCTCTGTGTGCATTTGCAGTTGCGCGACAAATGTTTTGAGTTTTACTTCATCTGCAATTATTTTCGTTGTTGTTGCAAATATGGACAAAGTAATTTCCTGGAAGTACCTGGAAATGCATCTAAAAATGTAAGTTACATAATATCAACACTTTTTTATTGAATTGATTTTTTTTAAAAAAGCGATATCACGCTCACACGGCTGTGATGTGTTCGACTGTCGCAGCCACTTTGCTCTTGTGAAATTGCATAAATCTCACTTAAAATCATGCTTGCAGCATCACATGGCTCAAAATGTTGTCTAAAAATACACATTCGATTTGTGAACAGTTGAAATAAATGCACATGTCATGGTATGTACACCTGTCGCTTGTCAGACGCCTTGTTTTCATCTGCTTACATGCCGCAGACCTTTCATAGTTGAGATATAACATTTGTTATTGCACTGTTCTCATCATACAGCAGCCAACGGTTTATTTATTGCTGTGTACGAAACTAAATAGCTGGGCAAATAGACTTTAGTGGGATGCTATTTTCTTTTTGCTTGCGACATCAATGTAGTCCGAGTGATGGTTGTTTTATTGTTGTTTTTTTTCCATGGCACTCTTCAGTTCTGTGTTATTTATGACTTTTTACCGTCCAAATAATTAATCAGCTCCGACACAACAGGAAAAGAAACAGCTTTTAATTACTTATGATGAAATAACAAATTATGTTGGCCTTGTTCCCAAAAATACTGGAGCCAGTGCATGGTAATTCATTACAGGGAGAGAGAGACAGTGTGGGAGGGAGACTGTGAGATATGAGCTCTGTTCGGATGAAATCAATACACATGCTTTGTGCATGTGTGTGTGTGTGTCGGCGTGTGTCTGTGTTATTGCATGAGATCCTTTGCGATCCATCAATATCTGTTCAAAAGGTTGAGTGTCAGGCCACAATGGACGCACTGATGCAATTACATATCAACATGCGCTAATGCGTTAGTCACCTGTAGTATATACTTGTAAATGAGCTAAATTTATCATCCTCCACCCTTGATTTTAATTACTTTTATCAATCCCGCTTCAAACACAGTTTCATTTTTTTGTGTGTGTGAAATTTGTCGAATTTGAAGTACAGGAAAGAGGAAAAACATAGGCTACACAGGCAGCTGTCTTCTAAGGTGGCATCATAACTATGATTAAACCTCATAAATAAATGATTTAGGATGCTCTGCTTCATCCAAAATCACATACTCACTGAGTACATACTCCTTTGGAATAATTACTTCACAACCATTAAAAAAGTATGTTCTGTAGTATGAATTTAATCTGGACATACTACATTCATCATGTTGTCATTGCCATGTGACCTACCAGCCTCAGTTGTCTCTCCTCACTGCCATTCACAAATCTTCTCCTGTGGCCTCATGGGATGGCCTAAGCCTATAATAAATACAATGCAATGCAAATATACTGGGTAAAAATATTTGGTTTAATTTTCAGTATTGAATTAAATATGTGTTTGTTTATTATTGATATCTTCTCACTTTGTCTGCCATTTCCCCCACTGAGTTTGTTACATTGCATTCTGGGATTGTCTTATCTGCAAAGTATATATATATGCAATTTCATCTTAGTATTCGGTTCAAATGAGGTGTCTTATAGTATTGCTTATACTGTACCATTTGAAACAACCTTCACCTTAAAATGCTGCCTCAGTAGGTTTTGGAAAGAAGCATTTGTGTTTATACACGTTGGGTTCGGTGGATGGACACAAATACGCTCAGGGTTTTGTTGACATGCAGAGACCTCTGTTTTTCATTGCCACCCTGTGAGCCTGTTTTCAGGCAAGCGAAGCGAAATTCTTCAGAAATGAATTCTCTCTGAGTCGGTAGTGAACTGGATTTCCCAAAAGACTTCCTGCATCTCCGGGTTTCAGTTCTACTCTTGACCACAGAGGGGAACACTCGGAATGAAATTAGACACTTCCCCGCAGAGAACTACAGCCTCTCTCAGATAGACAGGCACAGAGAGAATGGACTTTGGGTGGAAGGAAAAAAGAAGGTTAGATGTCATTTCAAAAAAATTGTTTATCCAAAAAATTTTCTTTCATGATTTATTCACTCTTTTCTTTTCTCAGACCTTAATTAAAGAAAACTCTGAGCACTGTTTTCATTTGCATGCAGTTACAATAAATGGTGATTAATTCTTTGAAGCTTCGAACATGATGGAAAAGCACAATAGAAGTATCATAAAAGTGATGCATATACCTTTTTCTGCAGGTCTTCTGAAATCATACAACATAGTTTCTGTGAAGAAAGAGGCCAACATTTAAGTATGTATTCATTAAAATGCTTAAAATGTAGAGATTTTTCAGATCTTTTCTGAAAAACTCAGTGATTGAATTAAGTAAATAACAACATAAATGTGTTTCTCTCACTTATGGCTTCATAAGACTTCACCACTTTTAAGGTGCTTTACATCTGTTTTTAAAGCTTCAAAGGCTCATTCCTTATTTATTGTAACTGAAGAAGTGCAGCCAGCACATTTTTCAGAGTATATTATTTTGAGTTCCACTGAAGAAACAAAATCATATGGCTGTGAGACAGAATTTTTGGGTGGACTGTCACTTTAAGAAAAAGAGAAAGGGTGATGAGAAAAGAGTCAAACAGAGGTAAGGGGAAAAAATTTGGGTGATTTGTGAGCGAGTTGATAAAGAAAGAATAATACGCAAGAAAGACAGAAAGGCATTCAATTCTAGCGTGGCAGAGTGCTGTTTTCAATAAACACATTAGCTCTATATTTTAGATTAATGCTAACAATTAAATGATAGATAGGAACAACACTTTTATCAAGCCCCGTGGATATGGACTGGGCACTATGCATATTTAATCTGAATAGCCTGCAATAGAGGCCATTACGGCCGTGTAATTACGGTAATGCTCTAACAGGGTTTTTTGTCCCGAGTGCTGCATTCACTCTCTGGGGCCCCGTGTTTGTTGGGTTGTATATTTTTCTGTGTCCAAAGAAAACTTGCAGCATTATCATCTTTCCCCGTTTCTTTTTTCTTCTTCTTCTTCCCTCACACTCCATTGGGTGAAGTGATTTCTTACTCAACACAATGTTTCTCTAAATAAGAATGTGATTTGAAGCCACCTGCTATCACATACACACAGCCAAACCTGCCTTAGTTCAGTCGATTTTAAATTAACAGTGACACCAGGCCCATTTTCTCGCCAGGTCAGACCAACAGAATGATTATCCTTCTTATCCAACTATCAGACTTAACTGTTTCCAGTCAGAAAGGGTTAACGGGACATGGAGGGGTTTGTGGTTAACTTATGCCTTGTGCGCTTGCAGCTTCCATGTTTACGTATCCGAAGAGTGCCTTTTTGCTTTATTTATCCGTAACTACAGTATGTGTGGAAACACACAAGCTGGTGTGTGTGCTCCAAATGTTACGGCAGATCCACTTCAGCACCAGTGTAGCATGAAGCACGGTTGCCGTACATGCAGAGGATTTGGAGGTTCTGGTGGGGTTCTGAGCTTATCTGGACCCTGCAGGTTTTCTGACTGTTCCTCAATCCCCTCACACATTATCATAACAAGGGCATATGAAAAAAAAAAAACTATTTAAGTCCAAACACAAACATATTCACAAAAAACAACGAATTTCAGAGCAATCTGTAATGTAAATTGGGAGCTCACCTTCTTTGTTATGGTAGACGGGGCTTCTAAGGAAATTTCAAATACCACTTTTTGAGGAATTAAATGTTTTTGTTTGTGTGTAATTGTGTGGCTTTCGTTCTCAGGCTCAAAACTTCTTGCTGTCTCTCTCTCCCGCAGGCATCAGACACCTCTGTGGTTGCAGTGAGACCCCACCTGCTCAGCAACAGCTGTACATGGAGACCCCCAGTTGGGCAGGTTAGTGTGTTTGTGGAGGTCATGGACTAAGTGTTTGTCTAATTGTGTTGTTTGGGTGTGGTTTTCTTCATTGGAACAGATTTGGACAAATTTAGCATGACTTCAACTTGCTAACCTAAGGATCCTCTGCAGTGAATGGGTGCCATCAGAATGAATCCAAACAGCTGATAAAAACATATACGCTCACACTTTATTTTAAGGTCCAATTCTTGCTATTAACAAACCATTCACTTTTGACATTTGCTTCAATAAAATCCTAATCTGCTGCTCATTAATAGTTAATAAGATAATTGTTAAGTTTAGGATTAGGGATGTAGAATATGGTCATGCAGGATATGTGCTTTATAGTACTAATAAACAGCTAATATGTTAATAATATGCATGCTAATAAGCAACTAGTTAATAGTGAAAATTGGTCCTTGTACTAAATTATTACCACATATACAATAATCCATAATAAGTAATCCACACAACTCCAGTTCATCATTTAATGCCTTGTAAAGCAAACACCTGCATGTTTGTAATAAACAAATCCATCAAGACGTCATTTATTTTAAGGCTAAAATACGAGTACCCTATCCACAGTATTGCTTTCTCTAGTAAAAATATGCATTGATCAAACACTGTTTACAAGAAAAAACAGTCCAAAATAGTTGTTGGTGAATATGTTGGTGGATTTTGATTTAGGGGACAACAGGGGATGGACTTTTTCATTGGAGGAAGCATTATTAAGGATTTTGAACAAAAATGACGGTTTAATGTTAAAACATCTTAATGATGGATTGTCATTTTGGATGCCCTGAGTGTAAAATGTTCAGCAAATTTTTGGTTGAACTATTTCTTTCAGTCAATTTTGTTGGTGTATTATTTTCATTCATTCATTCATTCATTCAATCATTCTTGTTTTCTTTTTATTTTCATTTCCTCTCGCCTAGGGCACCAAATGTCGGACTGCCATTGTTGACCCCACAAAATATAGCTGCATGATCCTCCTGGTTTTGAGTTAGATGTTCTTTCAAGAGTGAATTGTGCTGTAAGCAAAGGTTGGATTGAAATTGAGTCTGGCTCTTCAATTCATGGGATGGATTTTGTATTTTTGCATAATTTACATTTACAGGCTTTTCTCTCTCTCCTATATCATCCTTATCCGCTGTATGTCTCGATGTCATTGTTGTTTTCCGTCTGTCTGGGGTGTTTCCTCTGTGGATCAGTTACATTACTAGAAACCTGGTAGATTCATTAATACACATAGAAGTTTCATACATGTCTGCAGACATACACAATTTTCCGTCACATTCAAACTAAGGTATGTATATTAACAAAGCTCTTTATTTTATTCATCCATGAAAAGTGAATGTGGATAGATAGATAGATAGATAGATAGATAGGTACAGTTGGTAAATGAGACCTAATTTAGGCTTAGTTTACCTTGTGCACTTAAAAATAATTTGAGTTCATTTGAAGTGCACTTTACTAATCTTACTTTTTCTTCTAGTAAGGCAAAGCTGCCTTATAAGACCAAAATGACTAACGCAGCCCCATCGGTCTGGTGTGTGTGTGTCCCTTCACAGCTGTGGTTCACAATTGCAGAAATAAAACCGTGCTAAATGCAAAAAAAATAAAATGCAAGTAACCATATCATTTTGCATTGTTAGGATAGCAAAATGAAACTGCTTATTGTTGATAACAAACTCTACAGTGGCATCTGTCACTGTTGAAGCTCGCCAAATTAGACAGAAGCCAACACGGACAGGTTGCATGACATATCGCTATCCTTAAAAGCGGACAATATTAGATAAGAGAAATAACTATAAATTGCTTGTTTTAAATTTTGGTGCTGTGTTGGGTCGCCACTTGATGTCCAAATTCAAATTTGGCTCCTGAACTAAACTAGTTGATGAGCTGATGCTGTAGAGCTGTAAATGAGTGTGTGTCTTTAAAAGTGGAGTGAAGAGGAGAGAGCCAGAGCAAGGGAGTGAGAGAGGAGTGGTTTAAGTAGTGCTGACGACAGGCCTTTGATTCTGAGCATGCCCATTAGAGGGAGCCATAAATCCTGGGCTCTCTGGACTGCCTGTGTCAGCAGTCCATGGAATGAATTGATATTAAACGCGACAAAAAGCCTCTTTAATTCTGCCTCCACCAGCCTCTCTCTCTCTCACTTCTTCTCTTCCTCACTTTCTCTCTCTCTTTCCCTCCATTTCTGCTCTCTGCCTCCCCTGTTCTGGATGGTAATTGAAAAGAGGGAGGAGAAAAAAAAGCCCAGTGAAGCCAAGCCTGTCATCATAAAAACATCTGCAATTACATCCGCTCTATTCATTATTTATGAAAGTCATTAATTAAATATTATTCACAAACAGCAATAGCATTTTTCCCCTTTTTTTGCCCTCATGTTGTCTTCGAAATGGGCACGTTTTCTGCCAAACATCACAATGCCGTCCGCAGTAAACATTTATGTTTAGACATTAAGAACGATTATGTACGACCAAGGCCTGTGGTGGACTCATAGTGGCCTTTAGTTCCTGAGAGAGGCGGAAATGAGCTTCTACCGCCTCTGCGTTGTCACCGCACACCTCAGTGCTGAAATAATGGAGATAACTTGATTCACTTTCAAGCAAATGGGATATTTTAAAATGGCCCCCTTTCTCATTTTTATTGGCCTGTCTAAAAATGTCCCATAATGAGAAGAGGAAGTGCTGTCACAGGATGACATCACCCCCACACATGATGTGCTAAAACTGTAAGCGGTGGGATTTCAGGTGCCAAATTGATAAGTTAGACCTGTTATTCCCAAAATTGTAAAGATGAGGAACGATACATCAAACGAGGAGCTCCATGGCGTGACGCTCTTTTAAAACGAGCCGGATGACATTCTAAGTGGGGAGCCGGGCCGCTCTGAGAGCGCAGACCAGCGCCAGGTACAGCTGTTGTAACTCTTTCACTTAGCGGGGCCCCTACGTGGAGGCTCTCAGCCGGTACGAGGGCCCGCGCTCACGACACGTACGCACGTGATGGATTGACTCGGGGAAAGCCATCATCTGGTCGTGCACGCGCGTGCTGAGCGAGGTGGGCCCCGCGTGATTAATGATATTTGCCTGGAGTCATCGAAAGCTGGATTTAAGTATTTTGGATTTAAAGTAACATTCGTCTCTATTGTTCACAGCGAGAGAGGCATTAGTCAAATTCAGCCACGTCTCGGCAGACGACGACGCTCCAACCCCTGGAGCACGCTGTGTAACAGTGCGGTTGTCTCACTCTCGCTTCGACAAATTATTCATGCAATTTTCGCCCGTTTTGTCTGATTATCTACAAATCTCTCTCACGACTGAGTTTATCATCCTGCCAAAATCATTTATTTCTCAGTAGTATTTCCGCTGAGTAAATGTTTGATGAATTGCTGTCATTACGCCTGTTTTTAAAGTGCAAATATATTCTGCCAAATATAGGACTTTGTTTATCACAGTAATTTAGCAAAAATGCAATATACATTTTTTAAACTTTTTTTCCATGTTAAATCAGACCTCAAAACATGGCAATATCTGCTTTATCAGATTAAATAATTTTCAGTAAACCTTTAAAAAATAATATTTGTTTTTTTAATAAGCAAATAACAAATAATTTTCAGTAAACAACCATTTTTTATAGGCAAATGTAAGGGGCCTTACTTCAGTGCATTCTTTTTCCCCCATATTTCGAGTTCTGCGTTCCCAAGGTGAAGGGCCATTGATGCCATTAACAGAATGGACAGCGAGAGCGAAAAATCCCTTGTGACAACTGAGTAATGAGATGAAATTATAGACCTGGCTCGGGTCTGGCACTGGTATTTTGTAACTGTAAACGTCCTGAACTCAGCATTAAACTGACCATCTGATCCAAAACTAACAAAGATCCTCAAGGTCAAAGACTCACTCCTCCCTCTAAAATAGTGTTCCTTAAAGCGCTTAGCAAAGCATAATTTGTGCACCGTGTTTCCTTCGGCTCAAATAAATCACTCAGCGTAGATGGTCAAATACAAACTTCGGATTTCGACTGACACGAACGGACTTACCTTTTTCGAGCACTGAGGCAGATATCAGCCCTTTCTGGTCAGATGCTTTCAAAAAGCGAAGGGGTGAAAGAGCAAAGATTGCACCTGACCGCCTTGCCGCTCTGTTTCTGTACGTCTGCAGCTTCTACGGATCTGTCAATGGAAATCCAATTGCTGGGAAAGCATTCAATCCTAATTCGGTTACCTTGGTGGATAGTGACATCCACTGTATCCACTGCTGCCTGTTTGAGCTGTTTGTTTTAGGCCTAAATCATGGCGGATGGGGTGTGTGCGAGTGTGCCGTGAGGAAAATATACATTTGGAATTACACAGTCAAAGCAAAGCCCTAATGGAGACTTCAAAGAACAGAATATTATAATTCATGCTGTAAAATATTGAGAACCAGGAGAAATATGCAAAAGAGTGCTTACTCAGTATCTGCCCTTTTTATACACCACTTATATATTACAGTATGCTGTCTTGCAGTGGTACTGCGCAACAGGTTTTAAAGAGACAGCTCACCGAAAATGTAAAGTTTTGCGATCGTTTACTTGTCCCCGTGTTGTTCTAAACCTGTGACTTTCGTTCTTCAGTCAAACACAAAAGGAGATGTTTTGAAGAATGTTCAAAATGCTTTCTTACAAATAATGAAATATGATGGTGACCATAGCTGTCAATGTGCAAAAACATGATAAAAAGCATCATAATGTTATATTCCAAGTCATCTGAAATCATATGATGACTTTGTGTGAGGAACAGGCTGAATTTTAAGTTATTTACTGGAAATCTTGCTTCACATCCATGTTCACCATTAATATCAGAAATTATTAAGAGGCAATATTTTAAGGGGCATTTTATACCTTTTATGAGGGCCTTTTTTTCTTGACTACTAAAATAATAAATATGTTAAAATTTTTATTAATTGAATTTATTAATTAAAGATTTAAAAAAAAAAATCTTTACTCGCTTACCAATA